CAATTGTGAGCATTTTGGTTTTCTTTATGTTGAGATCTAATCCATACTGCAGAATATAGTCTTTAATCTTCAGCAGTAAGTGCTTCAAGTCATCCTCACTTTCAGCAAGCAAAGTTGTGTCATCTGCATTATGCAGGTTGTTAATGAGCTTCCTCTAATCCTGATGCCATAATCCCGGCAAATGGTCATGGTGTTAAGGGGGTCAGTAGTGGTGTTACTTTGAAGACCTCAGCTTCTGGATGTATCCTGAAGGTAGAGCCAATAGTATGAAAGTGCTTATTTAACCACAATCTGCAAATGTGTGTATTATCAATCTAAGTTTTGCAGAAATGATAATGTCGTAACTATCCTTTTTTGCCATAATTCCGTAATATAGCCTAAATAAAGGAAGAGAGATTTGTATTCCTGAATTGGAAAACTCAATATAAGCAAGATATCAATTCATAGCACACTGATCTATAAACTCAGAGTAATGACAATCAAAATCCAGGTGACTTTGCTGAAATACATTATAACATTTACATGGAAAAGCAAAGGACCATGAATATCCAAAACACTTTTGAAAAGATGAATAAAGTTAAAAGACCCACATTACCTGATTTTGGAACTACGTAAAAAGCCACAGTAATGAAGAACATACAGTATCATTAAAAGAAAATAGATTCAGTTAAATGGAACAGAATATAGAGTCTAGAAATACGTGTGTTTCTACTGATTTTCAAAAGTGCCAAGGCAATTCAATAGAGAAAGTTTACACTTCTTAACAAATGGTTCCATAACTTTCAAAGTTAACTTGAATTCAACATAAATGTATACAGCAAATTTTAGGGAAACCACAGAAATAATCATATAATAAAAGTAAACTGAAATGCTGAAAGAGGAAAGAAAAGAAATATAAAATATTCAGTTAAAACCAGAGAGGACAGGAAGAAAGATATAAAAGAACAACTGCAATGAATATAAAAAGTAAAAAACATGGTAGATATTAATCCAATTATATTAGTAATAATTTTAAATGTGAATGGTATAAATACACAGATTAAAAGAGAATGACAGACTGAATTTAAATAAATAAATACATGACCCAAACTACATGTCCACAAGAAACCCATTCTAAATAAAAAATACATAGATAGATTAAAATTAAGGGACTATACAATGATATATAACTAATCAAATAATTAAATTAATTTCAGGCAAAGTCAACTTCTGAACAAGGAAATGATCGAGGATAATGATGAAGGGATCAATTCCAGATTCCAGGAAACATAAAAATCCTGAATGTGTCTGCAACTAAGAATAAAGCGTGTGTTTGTGTGTGTGTGTGTAGCAAAAAAATATTAGAATTGTAAACAGACAAATCCACTATTACAGTTGGAGATTTTATTATACCTATATATCAGTAAGGAGTTCTGGTAGCGTAGTGTGTCAGACACTTGACTGCTAACCAAAAGGCTGGCGGTTCAAACCCACCAGCCCCTCCTCGGAAGGAAGGTTGGGCAATCTACTGCCATAGTGATACCACCTCGAAAACCCAAGGAGGGGTCACTATAAGTCGGGTTCTACTCGAGGGCACATAACAACAAACAACATATATCAGTAACTGACAAATTTAGGGGTCAGAAAATCACTAAAAATATAGTTGAACTGAACCAACTGGATCTAAATAAGATTTATAGACCACTCTAACATTGACAGAATACACATTCTTCTCAAGCTAACATGTAATATTCACCAAGACAGACCACATTCTGGGCCACAGAACACACTCTGACAAATTTCAAAGGCTGTAAATCATACAAAGTAAACTCTCAGACCACAGTGAAATTAACTACAAATCAGTAACAGAAAGATAGCTGGAAAAAAAAAAATTTGGAGATAAAGCAATACACTATTAAACAGCAAAGGGGAAGCTCAAAGAAGTCTCTACAGAGATAAAAACAGTTTAACTAAATTAAAACATGACTTTTCAAAATGCATGGGATGCAGCAGAAGCAGTGCTTAGAGACATGCATTCAATGCATGCATCGATAAAGAAAGAACTGAAATCATCAAACTGAGCTTCCATCTTAGTAAATCTGAGAAATAATAGCAATACAACCCCAAGCAAGCAGAAAAAAATAAATAGTTAAGTATAAGCATTGATGTTGCTGTTAGGTACCATCAAGTTGATTTTATATTCACAGCAACCCCATATGACAGAATAAAACTGCCAGAGGGTGATTTTGGCTGTAATCTTTACAAGAACAGATCATTAGGCCTTTTTTCCCAAAGAGCTGCTGAAGGGTTTAGAATTGTCAACCTTTTGGGTTAGCAACTGAATGCTGAAATGTTGAATCTTGTGGTTAAGGTTGTGTGTCAACTTGGCTAGGCAATGATTCTCAGTGGTTTGCAAGTTATATTTTATCAGTTATATAATGATGTAATCACCTCCATGACGAGATCTGCTATAAGCAGCCAACCCATAAAAGGGAGTTTCCTTGGGGATGTGGTCTGAATCCAATATACATGCACATTCTGGTAAAGCTCTTTGCTTTTAACTTGATGTGGATCCTGCATCCAGCTCATCATCATATGACCCACAGTTTTGTTTAGACTTGAGCCAGTGGCCTGCCATATTGGGATTCACTAGCCTCCCCAGCCTGTGAGCTAGCAACCTGCTGTATTAAGTACCGATCTTAGATATGCCAGTCTCCATAACCCATGAGCCAGAAGCCTGCAGCCTGACTTGTTCATCTTGGGTTCCTCAGTCTCCACAGCTACATGGGACAGGAGAAGCCTCCAGCCTAATGTCTGACCCATGGACTTGGGACCTGCCAGTCTCTGTAACAGCATAAGCCATTTCTTGAGATAAATCTGTGTGTGTGTGTATGTGTATACACACACACACACACATACATCCCCCACAGTCATCTGTCACTTTGCATGTTGTGATGCTGGAAGCTATGCCACTGGTATTTCAAATACCAGTAAGGTCACCAATTATGTACAGGTTCCAGTAGAGCTTCCAGACTAAGAGACTAGGAAGAAAGATGTAGCCAGGTCAACATCTGAAAAAACTGACCATTAAAAAACTAATGAGTAGCAGGGAAACACTTTACAGTTAACCTTAATGACATAAATGGAATAAAGCTTTCAGGATCTTCATTTCCTGATATGACATAACTCAAAATGAGAAGAAACTGTTGCAAACATCCATTAATAATAGGAATGTAGAATGTACAGAGTATGACGCTAGAACCAGAAGTTGTCAAAAATGAAATGGAACTCAAAGATTGATACTTCAGGCATTAAACCAAAACCAAACCAAACCCACTCCCATCAAGTCCATTCCAACTCACAGCAACACCCACTGGGTTTCTAACACAATAAATCTTTACAGAAGTAGATCACCCCATCTTTCTTCCATGGAGTGGTTGGTGGACTTGAACTGCCAAATTTGTGGTTAGCAGGCAAATGCCTTAGGCACTGCACCACCAGAACTCCTTATTCTAGGCATTATTAAGATAAAATTGACCGGCAATGGCCATTCTGAATTGGACAATCATATGATCTACTATGCTAGAAAAGACAAATTAAAGAGTAATGACATTGCATTCATCATCGAGAATACAGTCCAGGCTGAACTATTAGGTATGTTTATGAAGCGGGGAGTATACCCAAGACCATGTATAGCGTTGGCAGACAATGGTCCTATAAGTGTATTTGTATGTTCTGTAAGAATTCCCAGGTGTATAGTAGAGCTGACAAGGGATAAGGTTGTAGTCACTTCTTGGTCACAGCCAGCTACCCAGGGGGACCGAGTAGTTGAACTGGTGGGCGCAGGACCTTAGTCACAGGGGACATCAATCTCAATTGGCATAACATACTACACAAAACATTGTTCCACCTTCTACTTTGGCAAGTAGTGACTTGGATCTTAAGAGCTTGAAAGTTGCCATCTAGATGCAATGATGGGTCTCTCCTCATCCAGAGCAAAGAAGAATGAAGAAAACCAAAGATTCATGGAAACAATTAATCCTAGTGACTGGCACACCACACAATCTGCAGCCTATACGACTATGAGACCAGAAGAACTAGATGGTGCCTGGCTACCACTGTCAACCACTTGGAGGGGGATCTATGTAGGAGATTCTGGATAGAGAGGGAGAACAATGTGGAACAAAACTCAAAATCATTTGGGGGAAAAAAAGGGGGGGAACCAGGTTTGCTGGTCTGATAGAGCCTAGTGGAACCACTGAGACTATGGCCCCTAGCTGCCCTTCAGGTCTGGAATTGTGGAATTGAACCACACCTATGGCTTCCAACCAAACAAAAGACAGGCAGAGAAGCTGAACATGAGGTAGATATACTCCTTGGAGAGAATGATCATGGGAGGAAGAAGGGCTGTTTATGCACAGGGAGACAGCCCAGTGGGCAGGAGTGCACTGAGGGATGGACACAGGGAAGGGGTAACTATTGGGAGGAAGTGGGAGGGGAGCTATTGCATTGGGTTGAATTGTAGTCATTGTCATGAGGCAAAGTGTATGTGAACTACTGTATGGAAAGTGAATTTGCTCTGTAAATTTTCACCCAAATCACAATAAAAAATAAAATTAAATTAATAAGCAGTATTATGATAAATGAAGAAAAGGTTGGAGTTGCCAAGGATTTTATTTTACTTGGATCCATAATAAATGCCCATGTAAGCAGCAGTCAAGAAATCAAATGATGTATTGAATTGGGCAAATGTGCTGCAAAAGACCTTTTTAAAGTGCTAAAAGGCATTTTTACCTAAATCACAATTTAAAAAATATAAAAAAATGAAGTGCTAAAGAGCAAAAGTATCATTTTGGATAATAATGTGCACTTGTCCCAAGCCTTGTTATTTTCAACAGCCTCATATGCATATGAGAGCTAGATAGACAATGAATAAGGAAGACCGTAGAAGAGTTGATGCATTTGAATCGTGGTGTTGGCAAAGAATATTGAATGTACTGTGGACTGCTAGAAGAACAAACAAATCTGTCTTGCAGGAAGTACAGCTGGAATGCTCCTCAGAGGCATGAATGGCCAAACTTTGTCTCACGTACTCTGGCCATATTGTCAGAAGAGACCAGTCTCTGGAGAGGATCCTGCCTCTCACACACTTGGTGGCCTTGATGATTCACTGATGCACCCAAATCCCATTTGTTTAAAGCTCTTAAATGAGTCAGAATAGATGACTTAGGAAACTATGAACCAACATTCTGCATTTCTGGAAGCCCAAAATAACATCTCTAGTGCCCTATGCGTTAATGAATATGTGTGACAGCAGCACAGAATTTGTACAGAGTGAAGAACAAAAAGGCTGTGTGGGACATTTAGGAATAGATAAGGACAGAATTTCCTTTTCTAATTGGTTACTCCTCACCCCCAGAACTCATACATGTGAAATCGCCAACAAAGTACTAGGTAAAGTAGAGGTTCAGTGAAAATGGGGAAGGCCCTCAATGAGGTAGATTAACCCAGTGGTTATGATAATGGGCTCAAGCATGGCAATGATTGTGAAGATGCACAGGACAGGGCAGTGTATCATTCTGTTGCACAATGGGTCACTATGAGTTGAACCAACTCGGCAGCACCTAACAACAACCACATATACACGTGTACATAAACTTCACTAGCTTTACTTCTTTAGATAATTTTACACATAGAAACTGTTGAATTGGTATATGTTTTGCTCACATATACCAACAACAAAAAATAAATTACGAAAAAAATTAAGAGAAAGGAAACAAGCTTTAACTTCATTGTAATTGATACAGAAAAAGCATCCAATATAATTCAATACATATTCATGAACAAAGTGGTAACTAGGAGGAAGCTACTTACCTGACCAAGGTTACCTACCAAAACTCAACAGCAAACAGTTAACAAGGAAACCGTTTATTTTCCCTCAAGACTGACTTGATCTATTTCTATTTCTCCTTTTCCAGCTAAAGCATGATCCCTTACAAACCTCATAAATCCATTACAATACAAAGTGGGGAGTGAATAAAGAGCTCACCTGAGATGTATTCATTTTCTGCTGCTCTTGGGCGACTGTAGAGAATTGTGAGAGTTTAGCTGTGGGGACAGAAAGATGACTGGTGTCACAAGATCTGCCTGACTTACAACAACTAGATTTACCTCCCTAGATCTCAGCACCTCATGTGAGGAGGAGCCTCCTGATGGAGACATGGTCTTTAGTGCGTGGAATAGATGATACACAGACAGCAACACCTGTCCACAGCAAACTCTGAAGTGATCATGTAAACTTGAATGTGCATCTTTTCACTGGTTAAATATGAAATTTAATCTGTTGATTTAGCAATAATTTATGTGTTCTTAAAACTGATTAAAAGGAAAAAAAACAAACTAAAAACAAGAGATGATTAGTAAAATTAAACTACACAAATTCAGTTCTATTCTGCACACATAGGGTTGCCATGAATTGGAATCGACTAGACAGCAACTAACAACAACATGTATATAATATAAATCAATATGCACATATAAAAAAGGGATACCTTTTTTTTTTTTACAAAGTACACTAAAGGATAAAACACTCCTCTTTCATTAAAATCATCGCAGCAGAAAAATATTCAGCCTGCATTATTTACCTATTTTCCTGGTATACTGTTTAATCCTGGAATGACAATAGGGATTGCAAGGAACAGTAAAAATTATGTTTAAACTGTGTTGCAGTTTCTGAAAAGGCCCTTTTAATCAGAGGCTTTTGGTGACTGACTCATGACAAAGGGAACAGCATGGAATGTCTGACTCCTGCCTCACACACTTGGTTGCCTTGATGATTCATTGATGCACCCAGATTCTGTTTGTTTAAAGCTCTTAAATAAGTCAAAGTAGATGACTTTGGAAACTCTTCATGAACCATCATTCTGCATTTCTGTGAGCCTAAAATACCATCACTAGTGTCATATGTGTTGATGGATACATGTAAAAGCAGCACAGAATTTTTAACGAGTGAAGAACAAAAAGACTGTGGGACATTTAGGAATACGTAAGGACAGAATTTCCTTCTCCTGGTTGGTTACTTCTCACCCCCAGAACTCATACATGCAAAATCTCCAATGAAGTGGCATTTACTGGGCAAACAGCTCCTGGGCCAAAACTGGCCCAAATCATCCATTGCCACACAATCTGTGGTGGCAACATCACCAAGTCTGGCTCATTCTGGACACAGGGACCATGAACTGCTCTGGCCAACCAAATCTTAGACCTGCTCCTACTGGGCTCTTTAGCCTCTGCTTTGAAGATATGGAGAGAGTTCAAAGATCAGAGGAGCACTATCTTCCAAGTAAGATTCCTATCCCTAGAAATCGCCTGATTCACAAGAGCAGCTTTGTTCCAGGGGATCTGGAACCTGGGTCTTGGAAACAAATTAACTTTAAGGCCAAAATTTTGACTCTTGGGCTTCACTATAATATCAGACTTAAATGACAGACAGCCTGCCAGTGCAGCAGGGGCTAGAAAGTTCAGTCTAACCCAACAAACCATTTGCCAGTCCCAACTCATGGCAACGCCAAGTGTGTCAAAGAAAAATTGTGCTCCAGAGGGTTTTCAATAGCTGTTTCTTCAGTAGATCATCTGGTACCTCTGAGTGGGCTTGAACCTCCAACCTTTTGGTTGAAAGGCAAGTGCTTTAGGAATTGGCACCACAGAGATACTTCAAAGAGACACTAGAAATCCATGAATATATCTGCCACATGAGCTAATTCCATGTATATTCACTATTAATTCACTGAGGATTTGGAGATAGGCCACTCTCTTAAGTGCTATGAGCTGCAATGGCAATTGTACACAGGTGTGATATTAAAGACCCTGAGGCTGAGAGTGACACATATATGTCATTGGATCCAAGCCCCTCACCACTCTCACATACCACTCCACCAACCTGAGTCCCAGTTTTGTTTTTAATGTGTATAGTAATACCATTTGCTTATGGCATGGCAAAAATGGTTAAGCATTTAGCTACTAATTGAAAGGCTGGCAGTTCCAATCTGCCCAGAGGTGCCTCAAAAAAAGAGGGGGGAAAAAAAGGCTGGAAATCCAAAAGACCACCAAAACAAAACCAAACTCACTGCAATCGAATCAATTCCAATTGTGAACGAACCCTACTGGGCTTCCAAAGCTGTAACTCTACAGACGCAAACTGCCTCATCTTTCTTTGGCAGAGCAGCTGGTGGGTTCAAACCACCAACCTTTTGGTTAGCAGCCAAATGCCTTAACCACTTACACCACCTGCGCTCCTTCCAAAAGACCACAGCACTGAAAATCCTTTGGAGCGCAGTTCTACTGTGAAATACGTGGGACTGCCAATGAATCAAAACAGACCGAACAACAACAGGGTTTGGTTTTTCAGTTCTGACTCCAGAGCTCTACCTCTCCTATAGACCCACCATCCTCAATATATGTGACATTCATCATCAACGTTATAAATGCAAATTCCCCTTCTTCTGACAACATGGGATTTCTCCCGGTTGGGTGGCAGGCTGGGCTGGACCCATGATACCCCGCACACCCTCAGCATCACAAAGCATCTCATCCTGATAAGAACTCAGTTGCCCCTGCACCATAAACGCCCACGGACCCAAGCGGTGATCACCCTACCGACCATGCACTGGCAGTAGTGGGAGTCCCAAGGGCTTCCCACTCTCCACCCTGGGCGAGTCCTCACCTCGGAGTTTGTCCCTATGCACTCTCTTACCTCATCCTAACTCCAGGAGCTTCCAAACCACACCAGGGATCATCCCCACAGACTGCTAAGGGGCAGTATTAGGTTTCCCAGGGACTTCCTGCTCCTCCTCCCTAGGCATGAGCCCACACCTCACGCATGGTTCCTACACACTCTTACCTTACCGGCACACCTACTCTCCGAGTAAACACCTAGAGTTCAGGAACTACCACACATTGCTATGATCATACAGGCGCAGCAGCAGCCCAGAATCCCATTCCCAGAATCCTGTGCGGGCAGTCAATACAATTCAAGACTACATTTCCCATAAAGCACCGCCTTCCATTTTCAAATTAATCTTTCGCCACATCTGCATCTTTATGTTGGAGAAAGATTTTCTTAAAAGTCCTTCCTACCAAAGTTTTCTCAGACCCTGAAGGATTCTTTGCTAATACTGACACGTAATCTCAACATTCATAAGGAAAAAAAGAAAAGATAAAGAAAAAAAAAGCCGTAAGGAATAGCCAAATTTGCCAAACAATTTGGAAAAGAACAAAGTAGGAGGAATACCATTTACCAATTTCAAAATCTAAATGTTTACTGTACTAAAAAACTACAATAATCAAGGCACTGTGCTATAAACATAAGGACATTTCAATTAATGGAATCAAATGGAGAGGCCAGAAATAAATCCTTAGATTTATGGTCAATTGATATTAATTAGCTCAAAATCAATCACAATCATATACGTAAGAGCTAAAGCTATAAATCTCATAGAAGACACAGAAGTAAATTTTCATGACCCTGGATTAGGCAATGGTGTCTTTATCCAAGGGGGGGGAGACATAAATTGGACTTCATTATTTTAAAAATTTGTGCTTTATAGATACCATCAAAAAAGTGAAAAGGCAGCCCTAGAATGAACAAAAGCATTGGAACATCATTATTTGAAAAGGGAATTGAATGTGTTCAAGGGAAACCCTTAACTAAGGTTAGAAGTTGTGTATAAATGCTCTACCTCTTCTCCCCATGAAACCTTCTTGGGAACAACACATGTATCCCCTGGAAGTGTTCCCACAGGGACTCAGCCATAAGTCAATGAGGTGTCAAGTTCAACAACTCACCCACAACAATAACCAACTCAAACCCCTCTTCAGCAGAGGCCAGATTCCTCATATCACCTTCAATGCCCACATGATTTGTCTCCCTTGACCTGTTCTGCTACCTTTTTCTTCCTTAAAATGATGCAGCCACAATTGGCCAGCTGGCTCTTCACTGAGCAAGCCTGGAGCAATCCTGCCTCAGGGCATCTGCCCCAGAGATATCCTCAGCCTGAAATATTCTTCAGATATCTTCATGACTTGCTCCCTCACTTACTGAATGTTTCCTCAAGTATCTCCTTTCCAGGAAAGCTAATCTTAATACTTTGTTTAAAATGAAAACTCTCCTCCCAACAGTCTTCTGCATTCTTTATGCAGTTCTATTTTTCCGACAGCTCTGGTGGTGTAGTCCCTAAGGCATTTGATTGCTAACCAAGAAGGTTAGTGGTTCAAACCCACCAGCCACTCCACAGAAGGAAAACTGGGCAATCTACTTCTGTAAACATTTACCACCTCAAAAACCCAAAGGGGGCTGCTATGAGTTGGAATCAACTTGATGACACTGAGTTTAGTTTGTGGGGTTTTTTTTAAAAATAAATATATAAATAAAACATGATCTATTTTTTTTTTTAAGTTTATTGTTTGTGTTTCCTGACCTGAAAGTATCCTAGGCAGACATTTTGTCTATTTTTTCACTCTTATTTTGTCCACTGCTGATTAGAAGAGTGAACACTACAAAACTCAATTAATGAATGACGAATGAATTCGTGTACAAAATGGTATGAAAGACAATGGAACAATATTTATGAAAATGAAAAATGCATTTAATCTATAACGAGGTAATCTCCCTTCTACCATTTCACTTTATGTTTTTAACCCTTCTCAATCATCCCTAGACACATATATAAAATTATTCATATGTAAGCTTAACACCCAAAATCAAACCCACTGCTATTAAGTCGATTCCGACTCACAGAGACCCCAATAAGGTTTCTAAGGCTGGAAATCTTTATGGAGGTAGATTGTCCCATAGAGTATCTGGTTGGTTTGAAATGTTGACCTGGCTAGCAGCCAAACACTGCCTTAACTTGTATACCAGAGCTCCATTATATACAAGCTTTAACAACAACAACAAAACCCACTCACTGCCATCAAGTCGATTCTGACTCATAGCAACTCCCATTACATTTCCAAGGCAATAAATCTTTACAGAAGTAGATAGCCCCATCTTCCTTCCATGGAGTG